GCTTTATTATTGAGTATCTATGCAATCCCGAGCTCCTTACAACAACTCTTTATGTGATGAGGATTACTGACATATAATTTCATTTATCAGTGGTTAGTACTCTGAACTCTAATTCAGGTACGGGTGCCTGCTCAAATTTAGTGCATAAATGATAATTAATCTCCACGGGATATGATACTACGAAAAATTCATGGAGCAGTCTCATTTGAGGGTAACCATAAGGATTTATTAATTAATGAAATTATTATTTTAATATTATACATGATATATTGTTTTACTTAGGTTTTATTGGTGGATGGTTGGTTTATAGTTCGAGTTGAAAACACATTGGAAATTAGAAAGTAGTGTGATTTGGTGCCTAATTCATGGTTTGAATAACATGTATTGTAATAAATGTCTGAATGTACAACTCATGCTATATGAGTTGGGAAGTTTACACTTCAAATGTGTTATAGCATGTTATACATACAGTTTGATCGTGTGTTGATATATATGGTGAACTACATACTAAGAAATTGCATTTGTGAATGTTGTAGGTGACACACTTTCCATTGTCAAGGTCTTCTACGTCCGCCTCAGTCCCGGAGACACCCCTTATTTTACCGACAATTGCTGGGGCAACTACTATTTGCAAGGTTGTCGGTGAAGACCCTATTCAGTGGAACTACAAGGACGTACGGATCAACTTTCATATCTTTCATATATTGTCTTCCAGAACTTAAAATAAATATTACTTAAACTAAATCTCCTTCTGTTGGCAATTGCAGCTCATGCGCCACCCCTGAAGCATTTCAACCGATTCCTTAATGTTTTGTCCCCGTTTGCCTTATCGATCGCATGTCGTAGCAATGTCTAGATGGTAGGTTGTTATGGCTATGTGAACTACATATGGATTAGATGCATAGACATTTGGAGTTATCTTTTGTGCAGTGAGAATTGTGGTTATGCATTAATGGATGTCCCTACTTGCTTATTACTAGGTTGGATGTTTGAAATATTTGTGTTTTGCAGAACATAATGTCGAAGTGGAGATATTGCTAGGCTTGTTTGATGGGATACTTTATTTTGTTGTTAGGTGATTGACATTGACTAGTAAGTATTGTTACGTTACTATCCTATGTTGGGATTCCCTTACAGTGTTTATGAGACACTATTTTTCCGTAACAAAAGGATAAAACGACGTAACAAAATATTATTTATGGATGTTTATTAGGACCGATTCCGTGACCATAAGTAAGGATAATTTTTAAGGGTTTAGTGACGTAACAAAAGGATGCAATGACATAACAAAAAGATGAAATGACGTAACAAATAGTGGTTCTTGGATGTTTGTTGTTACGGCCAGTTTCGTGATCTTAAGAAAGCATATTTTTTATTACAGGTTCAATGACGTAACGAAAATGCATAACATAAAACATACTCTGACAAGCGGTCATAGTAATATTTTGGGTAACGCGAGGAATTTCCTTAAAAAATATCTTGACAAAAAGTCCTGCCACATGCGCAAAAAAGCTCGACTTATGATTACGAGAGAAAATTCGTAACAAACATCGTAACAAATATCGTAACAAAAATCTACCATAGAGAGCGTTGACCGACAGTAGTAGTTACAAAAAGTTGCGTGACAAAAAACATTCATTACGCGAATGTACATTACGGATAAAAGTCGTCACTAAAACGTAGCAAATACTCAAATTGCATGAAAAATGACTTTTCGTTACGAATTTCCAGCTGTAGTAAAAAAATATTTTTTTGGTAGTGATTACAATCGATATCTATTAACGTGATATCAAATAAATCATAAATAAATTTTAATTAATTAAGATTATTGTGGCTATTCCCAATTAATTAAAATTTAAAATAAATTACAAACGTCGTAAACATGTAGTCTAAAATACACATAAATAAATATATGCATAAATCAGTCGAATGGGTTTTTTTTTTTTAAAAAAAAAAGAATAATCACATATTCATTAATCCAAACATATCGACTTGGATGTATCCGTACACCTCATCGAGGAAGATAACAATTTTTAGAAATCGACTTTTACAAAACTTAATTTTCCCAAAATCAAATTTTTCTTTAAAAGGGAATGAGACTTTATCAAATGCCCTCGACCAAGATATTTTTCGAACAAGAAATTAAAAACGAATCTTAATAAAAAAAATCGATAAAAGGAAAATTCAAAGTAAGACAGAGGCAAAATAACTTAGATACCAAGTATTCATGAAATTTATATCACAAATATTCATGCTTAAATCAAATAAGTTAGGAAGCAAATACGATAACCAAACAAACTTCCAGCCATTGGTAAAATCAAATATATGCTTATGATCTTCTTCTTTTAGAAACCAGTAGATTGAAACCCAAGGAAAACGTTGGGAAGGTGTTGTGAGACCCTTGCTCTCAAGTAGCGATGATATATTCTGATTTATGAGAGTAGATCTAGTAACTGTATGTGAGAGTATTTATAATTAAAAAGAAAAACCGTCCATCAGGATTTTTCTTGGCACTTTTCACATAAATTCTCAACGTGATGGACTTAATGGGAAAAAAGAGTGGACCATAATTTAGGATTAGTTTAATCAACTAAGATAATCCGAAATAATCAAATTGATATATATATATATATATTAAATATCAAAATAAAATTTGATTAATTAATCAATTAATTAATTAATTAATTAATTAGACTAACATTTCATTTTAATTTTTCTATTTCATTTTCTATTCATAGAAAATTATTATTAATTCTGTTTTATTTAGTGCCTTGTTATTATTCTTCATATCTCAATCTTTTTGTATAATTCTTTATTATTATTATGGTAAATTTGATAAGTTTAAATACTTTTTAATTCCAAGTTCTAAATTTGATCAGCCTAGCTCTACTCTTAATTATTAGATTCGATTAGTTTGTTATAGTGGGAGTTCACATTGATTTTTTTAACTGTTTTTCTAATCAATTGTATTACTAGATAGTTAGCCTAGTTTTCATCATAGTAATAGTAATAGATCAGATATTTTGCATTCCCTTCTTTGCATGTAAAGCCATTTGCAGATACATAACCTTTCCTGTTTTGTTTGGATTTGGTAAAATTAAAATTGTCTATGTTTTCATCTCTTCAGATTGTTGTCCAGATTGAAAGTCCTCGGGGGACACATTTTCAGCGGGCAGGGTCCCGTGAGAAGGTTCATTACATTCCTTAAAGGAGTTGCAAGTATTTTAGGTAGATATAGCAAGCATGGTTCGCCGGATCGGCCGAGTCCGGTCCGACTCGGCCGATCCGGAACCGGAACGGTGACCGTTCTGGTTCGTCAAAAATATCCGATATTTGCCCAAAATTTTCCCATCCATTCATATCTTATCTATAAAACCCATTATAAATCTTATTCTTACCGATTTTCTACTTTTTATTCATATTATTCGAACAATTCATCTCAATTCGATCAGATCGGAGAAGAAAACATTTACCAGTGCGCTGAAGAAGAATCGTGGAGGAAAGACCTTTGTTCTGCGTTCGCGTCTGAAGAAGAATTGTGGGGGAGGGGAAGAAGAAGTGGGAGGATTCTGCGTTCGCGTCGGTGAAGAAAATCGTGGGGGAGGGGAAGTTGTTCGCGTCTGAACGAAATCGTGGGGGATGGGGAAAGTTCTGCGTTCTGCGTTCTGGGTTCTGCGTTCTGGGGGAGGGGAAGAGTTCTGGGTTCTGCGTTCTGGGGGAGGGGAAGAAAGGAGGAAGGTAAATTTAATTATTATATTATTTTAATTAATTTAAATATTTATAAATTTGAATTATTTTTTATTAATTTGTTTATTTAATTTATAGGTTTAATTATTTTAGATTTAATTATTTAGAATAATTTGTTTAATTTATTGATAAATTTAGTTTAATTGTGTTGGATTGTATTTAATTTTTATTTAATCTATATAAATTGAGTTCATTAAAATTAATATTTTAGAATAACTTATAATCTTATTATTTAAAATTAATATTATTTTAGACAAAATTTGTATTAATTGTAAATTTATTGTAAAAAATTAATATTTTAACTATATTTTTTATATAAACAAATTAGTTATCTACTTAAATTTTTGTATAAGTTTGATTTATTAATAAACTAATATATAATTTGTCTATTTAATTAATGAATTACTATTTATAAATATTTTAACAATTGTATTATTCAATTACAGAGTTTGTGTAAAATGGCACCGCACAGAGATATTGGTTGGGATCATGCTACTCCTATCAGCAATGATAGAAAACAAGCAAAATGCAATTATTGTGGTAAAATTGTTCACGGCGGAATTACTAGGATGAAACAACATATAGCACATGTTACATGTCAAGTTGAAGCATGCACGAGAGCTCCAAAAGAAATAAGAGAGTTATTAAAAAAACACTTGATCCAAGGAAAAAGTATGCGAGCAGCACATAAAAAAAAGTTAGAAGCATTGCAAAATTCCATTCGTTTGGAAGATGATTCTGATGAGGAAGAAGATGAAGTTTTTGAAATAAATGAAGATGAGATAGATGCTCTTGAAAGAAAACACTTAAAAAGAGCAATGGTTGAAAGCAGAAATATGGAATTTATGGAGCAGCAGCGTAGACATTCTGTTTCCGGAGATCTACCAAGCTTGAATTTTAAAGCCGGTATATTTATTAAATTTATAAAATATATTTAAATATTAGTATATTTTTTTTGAGATAACAACCATATATGATCATATGCTTTTTTTTTTTTTTTTTTTATCTTTGTAGGAGGAAGCAGCTCGAATACAAAAGGAAGTAAAAGAAATTTTTTCGAAAGCTCTATGAAAAAGACAGAAGGTTTGCATCAAAAAAAACTTGATCCATACATGTTTCAATCGAAGAATAAGTCTTTGAAAAATATGTTTTCAAAAGATAATGCAAAAAAAGTGGGTAGAGCAATTTCGAAATTTTTTCATTTTAATGCAATACCATTTCACGCTGCCGATAGTGGTCCTTACTACCAAACGATGATTGACATGATTGCATCGGTTGGACCTGGAGTTAAAGGACCTACTGGTAAACAAATTGGTGGTGAATATTTAAACAAGGAGATGCAAGAAATTTTACAGTATGTTGATTCTTTAAAGCAGAAATGGAAAACATACGGATGTACAATTATGTGTGATGGTTGGAGTACTCGTACAAAACATCCAATCATAAATTTTATGGTGTACTGTGATAGAGATATGATATATCACAGTTCGGTTGATTGTACAAATAAGGCGAAGACTGCGGACTTTGTCTACACCCTAATGGATAAGGTGGTGGAATCAGTAGGGGTTGACAATATTGTACAAATTGTAACTGATAGTGAAGCTAGTATGAAGGCGGCTGGGAAAAAACTGATGAGGAAAAGGAAGCACATTTTTTGGTCTCCATGCGCAGCGCATTGCATTGATTTGATGTTAGAAGACATCGGAGATATATTGTCAGTGAAAGATACGATAAAAGAAGCCAGAAGAATTACAGGATTTATATACAACAGTGATAAAGTGGTTAATTTGATGAAAACATATACGAATGGCCGAGATCTGTTGCGACCAGGCATAACAAGATTTGCAACCGAGTTTGTTGCAATGGAAAGTCTTCTGAGATATGCAACCGATTTGAAAAGAATGTGTACTTCTAGAGAATGGGTTGAGTACAATAATACCTCGAGGAGAAGACATGAAGACGGAGATATATCAGACTTGATTTTGAATGAAAGATTTTGGAAACGGATACGCCGAGTCTGTGGGGTCATGGAACCCTTAGTGAAGGTTTTAAAAGTAGTTGATCAAGATAAAAAACCTACACTACCTATCATTTATGAGGCAATGGATAGGGCAAAAATGGCAATAAAAACCGCGGTGAAAGATTTTCAACAATATTGGGATATCATCGATGAAAGATGGTATAATCAATTGCATCAAGATTTGCATGCAGCAGGTAACTATTCTTGTTATTTTTTTGTTTTTATATTGTGCTAATCGTTTGTTTTATTTTTTAATTTTATATACATTTCATGCAGCTTAGTTTTTAAATCCTGGTCTTCAATACTCCGGCACTTGTGAATTTGATTCATCGGAGGTTCGAAAAGGAGTAAAAGAAGTTATCAAAAGACTCGAGCCAGATTTGGATATACAAGTAAAGGCTATGAATGAGGTAAATTATGTGAAATTTATAAATAATATATAAATATATATATATTAATTTCTAATAATTTTACTATTATATTGTCTATAGATAAACATATTTGTTAACAAAATTGGAGAGTTTGGAAGTGCACTTGCTATTAGAGCTGTATCTACATCTTTACCAGGTATGTATTATGAAATTTATCATTTAATTATATTTTTAAATATACTTGTTATAAAATGTTGCATTATTAATAATTTTTTATTTATTTTTAATAGCTGACTGGTGGAATATGTACGGTGATGAAGCTCCTAATTTAAGAAAAATTGCATTAAAAGTTTTGAGTCAAACTTGCACATCATCGGGTTGTGAGCGGAATTGGAGTACGTGGGCTTTGATCCATACTAAACTTCGGAATAGATTAGCTATTGAGAAACTGCATAAGCTAGTCTATGTCCACTACAACATGCGTCTTCGGGTAAAAAATTTTATGCAAAGGACAGACACAGACGATTTTTATGACCCAATTGATTTGAATCATATTTTTGATGAAAATGATATTTTAGATGAATGGGTTAGAGAAAATGAATCTCCACTTATTCGTGATAGTGATTTGAATTGGTTGGATGAGGCTATTGAAGAAAGTGGAGATCGAGGTCAAAGTGAGCATAATGATCATGACAGTGATATGCTTTTATCTCAATTTATAGCTGATGGAAAAAAGAAGGCGAAAGAGAAAAAATCAGAAAACAAAAATACGGCCAAGAAAAAAAAAGCAATCATATTGGAATCTTCATCTTCATCGACTAATGGTGAAGATAAGAATAATAACAATGATGATGATGATGATGATAATGATGATGATGATGATGATGGTGGTGGTGGTGGTGGTGGTGGTGGTGGTAGTGGGAGCTATAGGGATAGCCGATACTCAAGTGATATGGGATGGGCTCAAGGAAATGAAAATTATTATGCTACCCAAGACACTGATCATGGATATCGTCCTGGTATAGAAGCTCAAAGAGATTTTCTAAATAGTTTAACAGAATTTTCAAGTGAAGCCGATGCTTCAAATTTTTCAGATACTAGGAGATATTCTGGAGTTCACGAACATATGCAAGACTTGAATATAGGTTATTCCTATGGAGATTCTTCTCATAGCTCGAGTAATAGATTGGGGAGACAGGAGTGGGACCAACCAAATGCATATCATAATCCCTATTACTCAGGATACGGTTTATCTAATCTACCCAGACATCTTCAGGATTCAGCCAATCTTCCTATATTTGGATCCAACCAACCAGTTGGAACATATTACGGAGGGATTACATCTGGTTCGGGTAGTATTGATGATCGTAGACAAAATTATGGTTCATCAAGCAGAAGCAATGATAATAGAGAATATCGAGGTTTTGATGTATATGGAAGGGGTTCATTCAGAGAAAATCAATATGGTTCGAACATCTCTCCTTATCCAAGCAATATGAATCCAGAACAAGGATATTCGTAATATAATCGATCAGCAGATGAAAATGATTTTGAACCTCCACAACATTCCACATGGTATTGAATGGTAAGTATAAATATTTAGTATAAACGTAGTTTGAACATTTTATAAAATTTTATTTGTATTTTTTTTCTAATTATTTTTATTTATATAATGCAGATGATAAAGATGAAATCTTGACATTGACGGACACAAGGTACATCATTTTGTTATTAAAATAAATTTATTAGTATAATGACAATATGCAAAACATAAAATTTAGCATTTACATTTATATATATATATCCGCTAATTTAGTTGAAATATTATTCATTTTAAATTTTGATCTATTATAAATTATAATATATTTTTTCAATAATATATATTTTTAAATTAATTATATTTATAATTTGATGTATTTTAATTAATTATTTATTATTTTTTTGAAAAAATATAAATTTTATATAAAAAAATCATATAGGCCGATATTTGACCGATACGCCGCGACCGATACGCCGCGACGTATCTGGAACGGTAAAGGCCGATCCGCGACGCCGATCCGCGACGGCGAACCATGATAGCAAGTGTACTGAAATCTGATTCCGAAAGTTCAGTCTATCTAGTTTAGGTATACTTTAAGCCAGAGGAAGTTCGGGCCTGTGTTGTGACATTATGCCCTGGAATTAATACTGTGATACGAGAGATAGATTGTGGTTTGAGTAATATGTATGGTGTAGATCAGATATTTGGCATTCAGGTGGCCTGCAATATCTTTGAACAAAATTGTAACAAATGTTGTTTGTTTTTATGGAAACTTGGATATCGATAATATTGGTTGTTTCACTTTCCTAATGTTTGTTTGTTTAGATACGCGTATATTTAATAATTGGGTTGTCCTATTTAGGTGTTTTGTGTTCTGTATTTCACGAAACATCGGTGTCCTCTTACTTTTTATTTGTAGTAATAACGCCCTTCACTTTTTAAAATCTGACATCTTTCATTTATGGCCTTTACTTGATCGGGAAATAGTTAAGATTACTTAAGTAAAGCATGGTATGAGAGAATTTGCCTTAATTAATGCTCGGTACCTGTCTAAGTTGAGAGTGTAGAAAATGGAGTTGGAATCTTGAAACTTATGCGTCGATACAGTGGTATGAAAGCATTAAGCTTATGCCGAAGGAAGCAATCGTTCTCCCCTATTTGTCTAGATTCGATGTTTCTTTAATCGACCACCCTTCTATATGCATATATAATGAAAAATAAAATAAAATTGAGACAAGTATTGTGTTGGCTGAATTTTTGACGAAAAGCTTGCAAGCAACTGATGCAAAGGATGCATGAGGGAATATGATACGATTGCATGTTGGCCTCTGGTTAACACAAAAGATTAAGGCCTGAAATGAAACCATATGCTCATCTGCTTCGTATATATATATATTTATTCATACTAGGCAACCCCAGAGTACCCCAAGTCCTGAGGAGCTTCCCCGTTGACCTCAAGTATAAGTAGGGTGTGATAGAGTTAGGACTTAAGAGACATCTAAATAAACTGCAGTTTTGCTTTGGCTTGGGATTTTTTTTTTTTTTTTTGCACAAGTATGTATATTAGATGTCCTATTATTTCTTATCACTCGCACATTAATTTTTAGAATAGTATTCTCTCTGCGCATCTACGATATGATTTTCTTTTAATACTAGATCTTGTTCAAGTAACTTTGGATTTCACGAGTGTCTATTTTCTGGTCAATCGTAATTTTCTTTAGTTCCTTTATGCAATGCTGCACACTAAAATGAAGGTGTGTTTGTACAAATCTGCATCAGGTGTTATTTTGTATTTCAGATTTGGTCCAATATTCTCTCATCTTAATAATTTTTATCTACTGAAAAATTCTTATTGATCATTTTTCCACAAGACCACTTTAAAAATTCCCGCAACATGCCATGCCAGTCTATATGAAATACATTACTAATATGAAGATTTTCATGAATTTTTGGTCTTGTTCTCTTTCATATATTTTTTTAAAATTTCTTTATTGTGCAATCCCCATGACTCTCTATAATAATACACTATTTTATCCCATAAAATATTATATGCAATCACTATTTATACAAAAACACAAACCAACATTCGTTACTAAATTGACTTTTTTCATATATAGAGAAATTTATCATGTAATTTAGCAATTTGGCTTTACCAATTCTCCTTCCTATAATTGAATAAACACCTTATAAATTAGCACCAAAGAGCTGTATAATATAGCACAGACTACTTATATGCTTAAAGTGTTTGAAGTTTTCATTTTCAGGTTGGCAATAAAATCGTAAAATATTCTGTACAACTACCAATCAAGCTTTTTCTCACTTGTGGTCATTATTACCTTCTTTTTCTGCAGATCCTACTTACATGATTCGGGCAATTCCTACTAATGCCTCGGACAACATATTCTGAGTTTTAATGCTGCTATTCGATTGACTTGCAATGCAATCTGTTATCTGTGTATGATATACTCTGCATCATTGACTATTGTTCATTTGTTCACTTCTAATCGACATTTTCTCTAGACGTGCTATGCCGGAGGGTTCGAAGATTATTCATTGATTTTCCTAGTTCTAAAAACTGTTGAGTTTCCCAATTGATCATGGGAAACGGATGAATCTTCTTCTAGTATTCATTGTCAATTTCTTACTTTTATAGGGTCCTGGGTCTGAACAGTATGCAGAAAGGAGGCATGACAATGACGGCCTAATTGAGATCAAGGTGTGTGGAGACGGTAGGTATGTGCCTAGGTTGTTCGTGTGTAATTTTACTTTCAAGTTACCAATTATTTTTTAAATATGTAGCTATGAATTACCTATTTTTTGGCCGAATAGTGCCACACGGAAATTCTACCCGATGTTCAAATAAAAACTTAGCTCCGAGGGTCAAACGTGGAAGCATGTGCCGCTAGTGATACAACAGCTCTACAAAGAGGAAATAAAGGTAATATAATTAAAGCACACTTATTACGTAGTAATTAAGGGCACGTATATTCATCTATCAAATTTTATGCTAATTTCTTATAACTAAATTTATTGTTTGCAGAAACACATTAAGTGGAAACCCGAACACCATAGGATCGTGCATCCGTACTACAAGAAGAAGGCCTGTGAAACATATGACAATTGGTTGTAAGAAATACGTTCTGGAAAAAAAAAAAAAAATGTCAACAATAGCATTCCCGCCGATGTGCTGCAAACATGGAGGGAGGAATGGACCTCCGAGAATATTGTTAAGAAGTCGGCGAAGAAAAAAATCCAACAGATGGGGCGGTAATCCGAAGGATCCTGCTGAAGCCACGCATGCCGGTGGGTTTCGATCATTCAAATTATGAGTGTAGGGCCTATTGTACATTTATATTTTATATATTAATTGTAAATGTCTCTAAACTATTAGTTTTAAAGACCATACGAATTATGAGTGTAGGGTCTTGAGAAATGAGGCACATATGAGTGGACGCATACGAGACACTATGATAGCAAGAATTATTACAGCACGAAGGCGACCCAACTGAAAATAAGTCAATCAATTGATATTGTGTTAAATACTTTTCATTTAATGCAAACAATGTATAATATGTATTGTTTTTATGATTTCTAGGAAAATATGAATGTAAGTAATCGAGGAAGGGATATCTTAGTTTGGCGATATGCAATATAGTTGTGATGATGTCTTACTTTCTTTGGTGCATCGGAGTAAGAAAAAGAGGATATTTGGGCTTCGGTTGTTGGTATCGACGGTGCCACCAGATCGCAACTTATTCAGTAACGATGGTCGTATGCCTAGTGATCCAACAACTAACGAGAGTCGGCTAGCATGCTTGGAGGAGCGACTTGATCATTTCAAGATTTATGCCTTGATAACCATGCAGCACTTGAGAGGATGAACGCCCGACAAGACCGCCGTGACCCTGATGCCGATTTTGGTGTGCCAATTATTTGTTGACCTTCATACTAAGTATTTACACTTTAATATTGTATGAATTCTACTATTTTGAATGTACGATTATATTTACTATTTTTTGTGGGATCTATCGATTATGTAACTATATTTATAAATATCGTATAATTCAATCGTATTTTGTGTATTGGATATTGGTTTGGTGCGATTTATTTTGTGGCTTGAATTTGTGCGGTCTTAATATATGGTTGTATGGATAAATCGAAATATAATTTTTTGCGGGGTCAGTAAACTATTCACGAAATTTATTTCGTGTCAAATATAATGTTGACATATTGCGAGGAAAAAATTCATAAATAATTTTGTAAATAAATTACTCACGGAATTACTCAGAGAATATTTATGTAGTAAATAAGATTTTTATTCTTAGAATTACTCACAAAATTTTTTCTGTGAGCAAATTTACTTACGAAAAATTTTTGTGCATAATTACATTTCTTCGACAGTGAGTATATATATTAGAAATGCAACCCGATAAAAATGCATCCCTTAATTGTTTGATGATTCCTCCCATTATTCAGTTCGTTGGTGAACATTAAAGTTCGTCGGTGAACACTAAAGGGTTAGGGCCATATTGGGTTGAGAAGTTCCTCGATTTTCTATAAATGTAGATTTGGGTGTTTGATGAGTGCATGTATTTGAGTTTTATACCTTTTCATTGGTTATCCCCCAAAATTACAAAAAGGTGCCATTTTCCAGTTATGAAATAGGTTTTTTTTTTTTTATTTATTCTTGTCCCGTTGCTATCGGTAGTGGACCATGGTGGGGTGGACCACCTGTCGTTAATTTTGTATTTAGATTAGTCATTTTTTTATCAATTCTTTGGAAATAATATAAATTATCCCACGTGCAGGTTTTGTTCGACACCAATCAATGAGTACTGATGGCTATGTTGATATATACACGTGGGTGGATGGCTACTTTGAAGTAGAACGCCCACGCCATCTATATCGAGGTGGCCAAAAAGTGTTGTTCGAAAACATCAATAAGGACAAAATTTACTATGGAACTTGCTCGATATGTATGGATGCGCTAATGGAAACTTTCTTGCAGTTCGATTGTATCACACATCAAAGGGAACCCCTTGGTGACTTTGCACCAAACATATCTTCCTTATGAAGACTGAAGAGGACATCCTGCAAATATTTTGGGAATACCACGGGGAGAAACATATACACGTATATGTTGAAGACGTTGGCATGCTGGTCGCCACGTATGATTGGGAATGGCGCGAGATAGGCTTGGAAAAAGAAATGCCGCTTATTGGTTGGCACGGGGATACCAGCTCAAGTTATCAAATTCTGCCTGGAAGTATTGTCTATGATATTGCATCATCAGATTCGAACAACTCCGTGGAGGAGAATCTGGGTGATTGTGTTGGCGGCGAGTATGGCATAAAGATGACTGGGGGGCGACTACACCATCTAAAGCACAATTTCTAACAGTACAACAGTACTCACAACAACACAAACAAGCTGAATATTTTTCAAAATTTGTCGCACCTTCTTCAACTCGGAAATGATGTCACTGTTCGCTACCTTAATTTTGTTTAATTCATCAATTAAACATATGGGCAAGTCTACCTCAACCTCGCCGTGTATTTCATGGTTGTGATAGCAAACCCTCATCCGACAGTTGCAAAATAACTTCCCTTCGGTATCTTTTGATGGATCAATCATAAGTATTGCAACAAGTACATCGCATTTGCACTTCGGGTACTTATACCTCAAATCAAAACTCGTTGTTTTTTTGGAGTGCAAATTACTGCCACCCGTAGACATCTGCAGACGGAAAATTCACTAAAAATTAGAGAAGCTCAAAAATCCTTTTGCTCAAAAGAATAAAGCACAACAATTAACTCAAAACACTCAACAACCAGTCTATCTATAGCCAATTTCAATTTTGGACACTCTTGGGAAATTTCGATACCCAATTTTCCAAAATCTAATTTCTACTTAAAAGAATGTCTCGGGTGAAGGAAAAAAAATTATAGATTGAAGAACACATTATAAAAATCAAACACAAAAATTCTCCCGTAAGATTTCGACGGAATAGAAAAAAAAACTTTCAAACTCGATTCACAAAGTAACCATTTCTGATGAGGAGTTCGGATAGTATTTTGAAGATATCCATTTGCAAATAACAAATTTCTAGTACAATGAAGATCGACGATTACAAAGAAAAAATATAAGATCGAAGAAAACATGATAAACAATCTCTATCTATACTACACAAAAAAATTTCTGCTGAAAATTCTTACCTAAAAATCGGTGGCTAAGAGGCGTCGAAGTAGGAATGTCCCAATCTATTTTCTGTTCCTTGGGTGACGTTTAGCGAGATCAAAGAGGTAGTAATGGGGATGGATGGGTAGTAATGGGGATGGAGGGGTAAAATGGGGAGTCTAGATAGTTTTAATGAAACAAAGTGAACGATACTCACTTTGTCCGCGCGTGTATTACAAGTTCCGTTAAGTTCTGACGTTTGAGGGATTCTGTGCAAGGTTTATGAAACATAGAATAATAATACGTAGTTTCTAAAGTATAAGGAGAAAATGACACCCAATTTATAAATCACATGGGGTATAGGCAATTTTGCCAAAAAATTTATTAGAATCCCTCGCTATTAAATATCTTTAAGAAAATTACATTTAAATAAAATTTTCTTTAAAAGTAGCATTAATTTTTTCATATCTTATTTGGCAAGAAAGTGAAATTATTCTAAATTCCAACAAAAATTATCCGAAAAGACAAAATCAAAACTTTAAAATTATAAAAACTATTATAATAAAATTGTTGATATAATTTTTCAACAATAAAAAGTAAAATTCGAAAATAGGAAATTATCTTCGAATTTGATATAATTAGTGTCTGAGATTAGGAATCTCTAAACACTGTAGGATACATATATAAAATAGAAAAATAAAACTACAAACTGGAAAATAAAGTGGTGATCACCAAAAGCAATTCTCTTGAATTTGATGTCGATTGAAGATGATTTCTTAGGTCAGGAACAGACCTATTTAAAACCCTTTAAAGAAGCGGTTTGAACCACCGTCTGGTCGGTTACAACAACCGCTATCAACCGCCAAGAAAGTTCTCTTCTGTCGACACGTGTGTTAACCGACTCACCAAGTTGTGCCTTCAAACCCGCTCATCAGTTGAAACTTCCCTCAACTGTCCAGGAACTGCTCTTTCGCCCAACCTGCACATCTGCTGCTTCCTTGCCCGACCTGATCGTGTCCGACCTCAGTGCCCGACCTTATCACGCCCGACCTTATCCTGCCTCATCTCCGTACCGGACCTTATCATGCCCGACCTTCGAGCTCGACCTGATTACGTCCGACCTCAGTACCCGACCTTATCGCACCTGACTTTCAATCCTGACCTTATACCGTCTTACCTCTGTGCCCAACCTTATTACGCCCGACCTTTGAACTCGACCCGACCACGTCCGACTTTAATGCCCGACCTTATTACGCCCGACCTTTGAGCTCGACCCAACCACGTCTGACTTCAGTGCTCGACCTTATTACGCCCGACCTTTGAACTCGACCCGACCTTTGCACCCAACCTTGTTACACCTGAGCTCCGTGCCCGACCTGATCACACCCGATATTTGCACCCGACCTTGTTACACCTGAGCTCTGTGCCCGACCTGATCACACCCGATCTTTGCACCCGACCTTGTTACACCTGAGCTCCGTGCCCGACCTGATCACACCCAATCTTTGCGTCCGACCTTGTTACACCTGAGCTTCGTGCCCGACCTGATCACACCCGATCTTTGCACCCGACCTTGTTACACCTGATCTGCCTTTTCCCGAGGAAACTTCTTCCTTAACAGCGTTTATATTCGGACTTTTGAAAGCCCATTAAACTTGAATAAATCTTAACCTAATTTGGTAGGCCCATTCTCGAAAACCCTACCTATCATTTTTTTTTGTGCTCAACAACTTGCCTCCTCCCACCTAACTCCTAAACGTCACTCCTTAAACTGTGTGAGACGTGACGTTTAGGGGTTTGCAGAGCAGTGTGATCATTACACTGCTTTGTGTCAAATCAAGGGGTTTATGTAAAACCCTTCCTTCACCCTCTCAAATTCACGCATTCAGAGTTCTGAAAATTCTCTGTTCCTCCATCCAACTGCCTCCTCTGAAACCTTCTTCCTCGTCGTCTTCTTCACCTCTTCGCATATGGCTAACCAATACGTCCCCACTCTTCCTTTCAATAGGGCTGACCCCTCAGTGCCTTCTGTGGCTTCGAGGGTTCTAACCCCTACCGTACGCCTTTACTGCACCACCACCGAAGATGCTGATCGTATGAGATCCGTTATCTCTCAGGTTTCTCCGATCATCGTTAACGATGCTGCGTTCAAGCCAGAACATCTTCTGGACAGTATCAGAACTCATCTCACTGATCCAAAAGACACCTACCGTAAATGGTACCCACGGCTTCTCCCCCACTTTGAAGAACAATGGAAAAAACAAGGCATTGACAAGGCCATACTCCTTTCAACACAACCTCTTTATCTTCACGAAAAAGCTTTACTAGCGATGGCGGCCTTTTGGCATTCCCAGATGGGTGTATTCTTCCTCCCTGCCGGTCCTATCGGCCCGACCCTGATGGACGTAGCCGTCATTGTGCATTTGCCAATTGTAAGCGATGACCCTGTTCTAACTTCTTTTGAGGGCCGAGGGCCTTCACCCAACCATGCTGGTTGGGCCCTGGCCAAGCTCCCTAAAAAAGAAAGAGGCTGGACTAATTTTGTTAACAAATATCAGGGTAAGGAAGGCACCTCTGTTTCCGAACTGGAACACACCACATTCCTTCTCTTCTGGCTCTGCAGGTATACTTTTTCCTTTCGAAATCTCTTTCGTAATTTCAAAGTTAGATGTTATGGTTGAATCTCTTTTCTTTTCTTTACAGATACATCATTCTTTCCCCTTCTAAACTCGTCCTCTCTACCCAAGTCGATCTGGCCATTCAATTGGCTTGCGGCCATTCTTTTTCATTGGGAACCCTATTTTTGGCTAACCTCTTTGAAGGTTTAACCTGAGTGAGCACCCGTTTAACTAATAGCAAGAAGGCAGACACAGTAGCTTTGGGACCATTTTGGTTCCTGGAATTGTGGCTCCGTCTGTACTTCCCCACTGTGTTCTTTGGCCGACTTCCTATCGCTCCAAACCCATACAGGTCCATCGGTTATGCCTTGGCCAGATTAACCCCTAATTCCTCTTATCTATATCCATCCGACCCTGTCATCGCCCAAATTCTGACTGAGGATCGTAGCAACTCCCGCTTCTATGTCTACGAAACTCTTATACAATATTCAACTAATCTTCTTTTACTTCATCCCGACACACCTCATTCCCGAACTCCTCCTGATCCTCTTCCTCATCCGACCTATTCTTTCTCTTGGGATGTTTCCATGAAACCCCGATCTCTATTTTCAAGTAAGAGGTCGGACAAGAAAAACCACAGATTATTTTACACTTAAAATTATCAACCCCAATTTTTGGCCCGACAGTTCGGTTGCTGTCAGGGCATACTGAGACCACTGGCCCGATCTCACCTTATACCTCAAAGCCCAGAAGGGCTAGTGATCCCCGAACTTATCCCAACCTACGTTTCCCACCTCACCGACTACATCACCTCCAACTCATACTTACCTTTCAGCCTAAAACCTTCAGCGACCGAAGCATTTCCTGCTTGGTGGTCGGCCACCTGGTCTTTGATTGCTCCCTCGACCGACCAATTGGTTGGGAAACTTGCCCCACCCCCAGTCTTGGCGCTTGGCTCTCCTCGATTGGCCGCTGCCCCGAGAAGAAAAACGCAGACGCCTGCTATAGGCGGGTCTGGGGCAAAGAAGCAAAACCAGAAGGTCGCCCCTACCATTGACAGGCAGGTCATCGAGGAATATTTGGCATCTCTGCTAGTAGATACCAGCGGGATGCCAAAATATTTGAGGAAACAATTTGGTAAGTCTGTTCCCTTCTATATTTCATTTTCCGTGCAAACCCTTCTTAACTAAAAAAATTTCTGTTTCAGAGGGCCCTTCGTTGCCGCCGACCAATGCCCTATCTATTTCTCACCCGACTAAACATCAACCAACCATATCTCAATCGACTGCGGCGCAATCACCTATCAATCTGACGTCGTCTCAGTCAACCTCCGTCCCGACCACACACCAAACAACTACGGTATCGGCCGCAAACCAACCAACTTCGGTCCCGACCGCAGACCACCCGACTGCAGTCTTGACCATAGACCAACCGACCGCGGTCCCAATCGCAGACCAACCGACCATCACACAACCGACTCCCATGCAAACTGAGGTAAGTATTTCCTAATATTCCTTAGAAAAAAAAATATTTACTTCAACCTTTAACTTCAACTCTCTAACTGTAGGCACACCGATCGGAGGAATCGACGGGAAGGCAAATTATTCTTCCACCACCTCCAGCGTCTGATGTGGTCGCGGCGACGCCCGACCAACTCATCGCCTTCCCCGACCAAGTTGCGGAACCATCACAGGTAATTGTCAAAATCTTTCCATATTGTTCTTTTACAAAACCTCTGACACTTGTAATTTATTCCAACCAGGAACCTGTTGTAATTGCGGTGGTGCCCGAACCCGACCAGGTCGCAGAATTGCCCGACCCAGTCGTAGCACCACCCGACCCAGTCGTAGCACCACCCGACCAAGCTGCTGAAGCACTACCCTTACAACCAGCCGTTCAACCAGTCGATGAGGTTCCTCCTATTGCTCCTCAACCAGTCCAACCGAACCCACCGCCTCATGATATAGAGGAAATTTCCTCTTCAAAGTCGGGCGAGGCGTCAGTCAATTTTGCCCCAAGGGGTTCGGTTAGTATTCTCTCTTATCCATTTTCTAATTTTTCCCCTCATTTCTTGTTTAACACTCTTTGTTTAGGGAAAGGAACTAGCCGTCGCCCATCGCCTTCAACCGGGGGACTAGTCGGTTGCTGGCCCGACAACTCATCACGGTGCCTCCACAACGTTCCAACTCATGGCCCCTTCCGAAGCCACGGCCGCCCTAAATCAGGTAAACTTTAACCTTACATCGTAATGAGTTCACCATGTCTCCCCAACTTACTATCTTCCTTTTGCCTTAGGCTGCCCAATAGATGAATATTTTGGCCCGAGTAAACCTCCCGACTTCCATCAGATCTATTGTAGAACATTGCGCCGACTTGGCTTTTGTCGAATTGAGTGTAGCCGACCTCTGGGCTCTAATCCAGGTAGCAATAACCTTGTTGGTTCAACCCACGTTGGAATCAGGAGCTTCCCCCATCCTTGATCGGATGATGGCCAGGATCAGTGAACTTCAGGCCGAACTGCCTCTGATCCGCCCCCCATCATCCGAGGCCACTTCATCTCAGCCGACTGCGGACCCAACCAATCTTGTGGCAAACTTTAAGAAGGTCGATCAGGACCTTAGTCTTGCCAAGGCCAAGCTGGACGAACTCCAACAAGCGCGGCACACGTTATCGACTGAGATCTCCCAAAAAACGGAAAAACTTAGACGTCTCCAAGAACAACTGAAGTCCCTGGATGACAACATTCAGGAAGGGAGTCACTTGGTGGAGGCACATTGCCATACTCAAACGAGTCTCTGCGAGCAACTCCAAACAGCTATATAAATGAGACTCGTTCAGAGACACCAGGAAACTTATCAGCGTCGGCGGGCCACCAAGTCGGAGCTAAAATGGACCGACCTCCGAACTGCTTTAAGAGCCCTGCTTTCTATGTAACTCCAATATAATTTGTATAGAGTTCCAGACTTAGTTTATATATTCCCGATTTTCATAACACAGATCCTATGTTCCTTGCGCTTTTACTAAGTCAGACATCAAAGACAGATCCATATTTTTTGCACATTTAATAAACCACCTAAATTAAAGATCACAACAGCAATATAAACTCCATACCTCTTATTGCAAATATCATCATCCCTCACATTATTACTCAAAATGGTTTCTCCTCGCACTCGCGTCCCTTCGTCCAACTGGCAAGGTTCTCTGCAACCATTCCTAGTAGGAAAACACCCTATAGGTCATCATGCTGAAGACCTGATACAGGTACTGAAACAACTAGTCTTTAAATTTAGGTTCTCTGGCAGAGGTAAAAAAACCATACATCGTACGATCGACTGATGGAGCGTATATCCACCGGATATGAACCCTTCACCGACATACTCACTCGTATATCTGACCTTGATCATCATCTGGACATGATAGACCATCATGTTTCTGCAATTCTCCCAGACCTCAGTTGGAACAACCTTTTCCAGCAGCGAAGATCAACACTCTCCAGACTGCGCGTCCTTGTTGAACGAGAGAATCAATCTCCGCAAGATATGAAGGCCCAGACTGAACAGGATCTTCAAGATATGCAAGATCAGTGGGATCGCTACCGCCTGGACTTGGACGACCTCTTGGATGAAGAACCTGACATGGTTTCTGCGAGCTGGGATGAAACCTCCGACCCAGAAGACCTCTACCCTTATGATGCTTAAAGGTTCAAACCCTTCAAGGGTTCCTAAATTTTATAATAAGAATTAATGACAATGTCCTGAAAAGGCAGGGTAATACCTTTTCAGATACTTAGCATTAGTATTCTCATGTACCAACTTTCCTTCTTGATTTATGATAATAAAAGTTCCATTCCCAATCACTTTATGAATGATGAAGGGACCTTCCCAGTTGGGAGACCACTTCCCTAATTGATCCACCTTTTTATAGGTAGCATAATTGTCTTCCAGACCAAATCCCTTTCTGCAAAA